GATTTCTCCATTCAGTCCTATGTGGTAGTGTGAAAATGTTGGTATGAGTTGGTTTGTGAGTAAATGCACTTGCTCTAGATAGAATCCTTGCGCCACCTGCTGAGAAACTTTCAAACTACAATCGTGTCTGGCAAACACACATTCTCTCTCTCTCTCTCTCTCTCTCTCTCTCTCTCTCTCTCTCTCTCTCTTCACATTTTAAGTACTTTGGCCACACCAGTAAATTGCCAGACTTGGAGTAAATACTGAACATCTTGATCTATATTGTCTGTACCTCATCAACTGGAAGAGTGTGAATCAGAGGATCAAGAGTGGAAAGAGACTTTGTAGGTAAAATCTAGCTTCAGTCCCTCACAGAGGCAGGAAATGCTGGAGAATTCCTACCAGGTGGCTGACTAAGCTTGACAACATCTAGAGACTGGATTTGATACTGGATTGCTCCTCTGTCTGCTGCTGGGGAGCATTAGCGCATCAGCACATAACTTCAGAAAATACAGATGGCTCCAGGGCAAGCCATGGAGTGCCCCTTCAGCTCTTGTCCCCATGGCCCTTTTCTTGATTCTAGATACACTCGCACTATCTGGACCCATAGGGAGGAAGCCTGAGAAATTTCAAGCATTTCCTTCCTCACCACTTTGAGCCTAAACCAGTCTACATGGCAAATTCATTTTCTAGGCACCACAGTGAATTAAAGAAAGCACATGTAAACACCATCGTTTAACAGAAACCCACTGGCCACTCATTGTTGGGTTCCTCTGCATTTTCTGTGTGCTTGTGATTCCACATTCATTGTTGTTTGTGCATGCTTTACACAACGTTGTCATCCTCCAAGGTCTCTCTTTGCAGCCATTTCCATGGTTTTGTTTCCATTTTTGCTTTTCTTTTTTTAAGATTGAGAAAAAAAACTGGTATCAGAAGTGCATGCATTTTCATAATAGTGCCTGTCTGTGCGCATGTAAAGGAGCCGATGTTAACACTGCAAATAAGCCAGAAACCCTGTCAGTAAAGTGACAGGGTAAAAGGAACGATGTAAAGAAGTTCGTAAAGGCTACATGCTGCCACTATGGAAGTTTCCGCTTTGAATATTTCAAGTTTTCTCTTTTGGATTCCTGTGTAGTCCTGCTGGTGCAGTCCAAAACATAGCAGTTAGTTGCACACATCAATGGGGGCCCAATTCATCACATCCAGCAAGCCCCTATTTGTTACAGTTCCTTGGTCAAATAATTCACACAGCTCAAGGATGTAAACTATTGCATGTATCCAGTGAAGTGAAGTAACTAATCAACAACAGTGAATATCAAATGTTTTCAAAACAACTTAGGTGCTATATCTGATCCAAATATCATGCAACAGCACATTTCAAACTAGAACATGTCTATCGTCATCACTGAAATCAGAATTAAGAGATTATGCTACAATGTAACAAATGTAATCTTTCATTAACTTTTGTTACAAGATGAGGTAACATTTCCTCCAGGGATTGTAATTTAAAACTGAGTGTAGTTTTATTCTACATTGATTTTAAAAGCAAGATTAAATTGGATTCCAATTTCTTTTTTCCCTTTTTTCCTTTGGACAGAGAGCTTTTGAACATTTTACAGGCTATTAACAATTTGAAACCCTAAATATCCACAAAAAAACTACTATTTCACTGAGTTCCTTGGAAGACATTATCTTGGTTCCATGTGGACCCATGGCCTGACTGGAATCCACCAATAGAAAAACTCATGTAGCAGCTGCATTTCTATGATTTTCTGTGCTTCAAAAGGTCAGGTGGGCACAACACTCAGCTGCTTTCAGCATCTGCTAAAGGCATCCTTGTCTGGGGAAGCCTTCTTTTGCAGACCAGCCAGAATTTTAATGCTCTTTTGTTTTTAATGTATGTTTTTGTTCTTTCATTTGTTTCTACGTGGTATTTGAGTGCACCAAAGAATTTCTGATCAGTCTATGCTTTACAGAGTACAGCAAATCCTTTGACAAGGTGGATCATCAGAAGCTATAGATGATCCTGAATGAAATAGGTCTGCCTCAGCACTTGGCAGTCCTGAGGTATAACCTGTATTGTAGACAAGAATATGGAGAAACAGAATGGTTCCCTATGTGCAAAGATGTCAGACAAAGGTATATTTTATCTCACTATCTGTTCAATTTGCATGCAGAACATATCATACAGAAAGCTGGATTAGGATCAGAAGAAGCAAGAGTTAAAACTGGAAGAAGATACATCAATAATTTAAAATCTGAGGATGTGATTTAAGGTATGCTGACAGAAAGCAGCAATGAACTGTAATCACTCTGGAGGAAAGTGAAAGAAGAAAATCCAGCTGTAGCTGAACATTAAGAAAACAAAATCATAAGCACAGAAGAACTGTACAACATTAACATCAACAGTGCAGACACTGAAATAGTGAAAGATTTTGTATACCTTTGCAGCAATTCAAATGGAGAGAGTAGTCAAGAAATTTGAAGAAGACTGAAACTTGGAAGGGTAGCAATGAAGGAATGAGAAAACATGATCAAGTATAAGGACATTTGACTGGAAACTAAGACTGGAATGGACTGAAGAAGACAGTAATGCTAGGGAAATCAAAGGCAGAAAAAGAAGGGTAAGACCAAGTATGAGATGGATTGATCCCATAAAAGAAGCCACAGACTTGAATTTACAAGAAATGGGCAGTGCTGTCAAGGCTAGGATGTTTTGGAAGGCATTTCTTCATAGAGTCACCATAAGTCAGCAACAATTTGACAGCACATAAAAAGAAAACTGAGAATCTGAGAATGAGAACTTCCTGCTGCTCTCTAAACAGGGTTGGCATTTGAATAGTATAAAGATTTGAGTGAATGTATCTGTATAGTCAACTGGACACTGAACCATTGCTGAAGCAATTTAATATGAGCATCAAGAGTGTCTCAGTAGGAGTTTATCAGACATTCCATGTGAGCTGTTCTGAGTTTTCAGTGAAAAAAAAGCAAAAGATAAACATAATGACCAATATTTATGAAGTAAGTAAAGATGAAGGTTTCCCCTTGACATTAAAGTCCAGTCATGCCTGACTCTAGGGGGTGGTGCTCATCGCCACTTCCTAGCCAAGGGAGCCAGCATTTGTCCCCATACAGTCTCCGTGGTCATGTGGCCACCTTCCCACCGAAGTTGTACCTTCTATCTACTTGCATTTGCATGCTTTTGAACTGCAAGGTTGGCAGGAGCTGGGATGGAGCAACAGGAACTCATCCCCATTGTGCAGATTCAAACCGGCGACCTTTTGATCAACCAACCCAGCAGCACAGCAATTTAAACCACTGCACCACCTTCATCCCTATTTATGAAGTAGTTTACCTTAAATAGCTATTTTTTAAAGTCTCAAAGGTGACCTCCAAATTGGGTCGCAACTGTGACATAGGGGCAGCCTTAACCCTTTCCCCCATCAGAATCCCCATCAAAATTTTACTTCCCTGCTTCTTTATTTACAGTGGGAGGAAAAATCCAGTTGGTGCCATTGGGAGTTTTCCTCCAATTGACATCAATTGGATCTTTGCTCCCATTGCAAATATTATTACTATTATTAGGTTCCATTTCTATACCACCAATTAGCCATAATTCCAATTCCAGTCCAGAACACAGATGGGGCAAAAAGTTATAGCATCCCAACCTCTCTTGCAGCTGTTATTTAAAACAAAAAACAAAAAACTGGCACATCTGCAAGCTATGTCTCATGTCTAATTTAGCACCTCAGTTCTAGAGAAACCTGTAATTGGAATGCTAATCATTCATTTGAATGCTGAATGCTGAACATTTATCTCCAATAATATGCATGAGCACGGCAAAAAATCAACACACAGTAATAAAATGTTACAAACCCATTTTCCAGCTTCCAGTAAGTGTGCTTCATATAAAATATAAATTTATTGATTTAGTTACAGTATTTGTATATCACTCTGTATCCAAGCAGATTCCAAAGTGGTAAACCGTTTTGGTTGTGCATGCTGATCATTCATCTCCAACTTATGGCAACTCTGTGAATGAAAGGGTTTCCAAAGTATCCTGCACTGCTCAACTTGTAAACTCAAGGCTGTGGCTTCTTTTATGGAACCATTCCATCACAGAGTTGATCTTCCCTTTCTTCATCTTTCCCTAGTGTGTTTGTCGTTTCCAAAGAGCGTCGCCTTTCCTTGATGTACCCAAAGTATGACAGCTTCAGTTTCATTATGTTTGCTTCCAAGGAAAGTTCTGACTTGATTGGATCTAGGACTCACTTGTTCATCGTTTACATGTCAAAGCTCTTCCTCAGGTTCAGACAAATCAATTTTCTGACACCTATCTTTATTGCTCAGCATTCAAACCCATACCAAGCCAGAAGATGATAGCCTGAATGATCATTGCGTCGGCTCCAGTGAAACATCCCTACACTTGAGAATCTGTTCTAGTTCTTTGTTTCCCTTCCAAGGCTCAGCCTTGATAATTTCTTGGCTGCAGTCTCACTTTGAACTGATGACTGAGCTGATGAAAAGGTATTACAAAATCTTTTAATAAGATCTCACCATAACAACCTTGCAAATGAAAAACCATCATGTTAATTTATTTGTGTGCGCGCGCAAGTTTCTGGAAAACTCAAAAATTCCTCACTATTTCAAAAGACGTTCCCTAGTCGTAATAAAGACACCGTATAACTCAAATGTAACTCTAGAAAGCTTTGTTATTGTACGAGTGAAGATAAGCATGTGCAAAAGTCATCTTCATCGGCTAACCAAGAGGAGCAAGTACAACGAGAACAATTGTGCACTTCCGATTCCCAGCTGAATGTGCGGAACAACGCCTTGGACCTAGAAACAGGAAAGCCCACGCTCTTTCTTTGGTCCAGGCTTCCAAATAAAGGTTCTTGCCTCGCATATGGCGTCCTTCCAATTAGAACCGGAAGTGATAATCGTTTGAAGTGTTTCCTTGCTAGAAAGCAAGGGAGGGGGCGGAGCGTGTGGCAAGAGGACTTCTCGCGAGAGTTCCGCCATCTTCTCCGGGCGTCTGAAAGGGTGGTTGGTCTGAGCCGGGTTGGGGGGAAAATATCAGCGACGGCGCGACGACGTAGCCGGCGGTGCCCGTAGGTGAGAGGAGAGGGCCGCCGGCACGAAAGGGAGCCTGGGGTGAGGACTGGGCCCATTCTGGCGCGGGCGGGGACCGTCAGGTGCTCTCGCTGGGCCCAGGTGCCACGTGCCGCCCGGGTCTCTCGTGGGCTCTTCCCCTCCCGCTTCGCCGCCTCGTTCGCAGGCGCGTTTTAAAAGTGAGAAAGAGTTTTAAAAAGGGGTCGGGCACTATAGCAGCATATGAACTCTGTATTGCTCTATATTGTGTAGTGTCTGCCTCCTGACGCTTTGCGATCAACCCCGGGAACTCTGTTCCAGTTCGAGCTTGCATATATTACAAGACTATCTGCGTAGGTGCAGAGTGCCGGAGTGGGTGTTTCCTACCAAGTAACGGTGACGGGATGGGGAGGGCTGGGGGGAGAAAAGCAGTATCTTAAACTTTAAATCGCAATTATTGGTTTTAAGCTGTCATTTAAAGTCACTTTTGAATGTGTGTGTGTTTCTGATAAGAAGATGAAAGAAATATTTTTTACATGGTAGGCATGTCATGAGTAGAGCCGGCTGGAGCTGGAGGTCAGACTAGATGGCTTGGGAGGCCCCTTCTGACTCGCTATGTTTCTATAAACTTGGGAAGTTAACATTTTTCAGTTTAGAGAAGGATATGTTGTTTTTGCTTTCATGATTATTTGTGTATAGTGGGTTGGTTTGTTTTTTGGCTAGGACTGCACGGATAACCTGTTTCAACTCATTTATTTTGTGCTACAGCTCCTCTAATTCTTTGACAACATAGTAAATGGTTAGGGGTTATGCGATTTGTCACCCAAAATAGCTGGAGGATGCCATGTGCAGTGGCTTGGGTTAGGGTTGCTAACCCAAGTCATGATGCACCGTGTGAGAGATGGACTAGAGAGGCCTGGGATTGGGCTAGTCCCACAAAGCACTAACCTTGTGAGACTCATGTGGGATTCCTTCCATTGCAAAAGGACCATCACTTCATAAAAGAGCATGTGTTTTTTTCCTTGAAAGCTCAAGGGTATGCTTTTGAGGAAAGCTCTCTGTGAAACCCTGGAAAGCCCCACTCCTGTTCACTTTTTTCCTGCTCACCTTAAGCATCTTCCACTTGTCACTGATCTGGCCTTCAGTGTTGTCAGTGGTAGTTGTATGTTAATCTGTGGTCTTCTCTCACTAGGTGTCAGTGTGCAGTCGTCTTTCTTCAGAGTCCCATGCAGAGTAGGAATGGAGTACATGAAAGAGCCAGCAACCCTCAGCCAAGGGAACATGTGAGTAACACACTGCCTTTGTGAGCTGAATCAGGAAAGTGATGCACTCTTCAATATGAATGTAAACAGGGTCTATTTGTGTGAAATCACCTGTATATCATTGTCTCCCCGCATGTGGAAAACCAGGCAGGCACACAGCAGACAAGGTTACATGTTTTCTCCACCCTGTTTTAGTTTTGCTCTATACAGAGTCTACCATTTGGGGCAGTTTTCTTTCAAACCGATACCCTTGATAGAATTCCATGAGGTTTGTACCATATTCCATGAGGTTGACATTCAGTTACATTCCCCAGCTGACAGGGCACCATAAGAATCTTCTCAGGAGGTCTGGAGGACCTTCTTGGGCACATTTAGCAGTAGGAAGGAAAAGAAAAAAGCAGTTTATGTGAATGAGCTCATACGATTATGATTTTTATCCCAAGGATCCAACTACTTTATTGACTAGACTTTAATTTCTAAATATGCTTCTATTTATGGTCTAAAATACATTGTCAAATGGGTGAGAATATAAATTCTTAGAACCTAGTCATGGCAGAAGGAGAGTTCTTCTCATACGATGCAACTGTGAAGCAATTTCTGAGTTTTGAAATGTTAACACAGATCTAACTTTTGGATTTTTACTAGTATTCGTGCTGAAGCAGTTAATTGTGCCAAACAAATAATAAAAAGCTTGTAGGGCTCCTACAAATGTGCAGTGTTGTACCTCCTGGTGTGTAAGATTTTGTTATATACTTGAATCAGCAAACTTCTTGAGGATTACCAATTACATTGACTCACCTGAGATCTGAACATTCATCTTACATGGTTAAATTTATAATAATAATAATAATAATAATAATTGTATATTGTTATTTTTGTATTTTATTGTATTTTATTTTGTGCTGTGAGCCGCCCCGAGGCTTCGGCAAGGGGCGGCATAGAAATGTTTTAATAAATAAATAAATAATAAATAAATAAATTTCAGTACTATTCAGAAAACTATTATAATTCCCAAATTGGGGCTGGTTCTGTCTGTGTGTGTGTACAAAAGTAGTACAAGTTGATATACTAGTTTTGCTCAGCGGCCAAAAAGTATTGTTTTCTTTTGAAGAAACGATAAATTTAATTTTCTAATGGCAATTTTTCCTTTATTCTAGCCTGTGCTGCCAGTGTGGCATACCAATCCCGCCAAACCCTGCCAACATGTGTGTAGCATGTTTACGAACTCAGGTGGATATTACTGAAGGAATTCCTAAACAAGTCACTGTCCACTTCTGCAAACAATGTGAAAGGTGCCAACCATTTTCTAGATCTTTAGACAGTGACATAACTTCTTTGAGTATTTATATCTTCAGCACAAAAAAAACCCCACCTCTCAGATCAAAGTTCACTTTCAACTTGTTCCTTGCACTTTCACGTTGAATTCCAGGACACAAGCAGCTGCCTGGCTCAGTTGCATGCTGCAGCAAATGCTTCATAGGATAAAAAAATATAACAAGGGGGAAGAGAAGTGTTAAATAACCTTTGTCTAGCCACTTTCTTTAAGGAGTAATTAGCAAAACATTGCCTGTCCTTCCAGCAGTCACATGTCTTTGGAAAAAAACTTATATGTGGCATGCTGTTTCAGAGCAAACAAAACTCCATTTGGAATATTTCTTTGCAGCTGGGGGAAGAGAACTTGTAAATTCTGTGAAATAATATTGTATGCTCGGGTTCTGCCATTTAACATAAAGAGGACTCCAGTGGCAACCTGTTAAGCTCTGATGAACTCCATGCCCCAGAGGGTTAAGGCAGTGCTGGAAAATAATGGTGGCCACACAAAATATTGACACTTTGGGCCCAATTTGGACAGTTTCATTTAGGGGTGTACTCACTTTTTTGCCAGCGGTTTAGACATTAATGGCTGTGTGTTGAGTTATTTTGAGGGGACAGCAAATTTACACTGTTACACAAGCTGTATACTCACTACTTTACATTGTAGCAAAGTGTCATTTCAGGGTTATCACATGAAAAGATATAATAAAATATTTACAAAATGTGAGGGGTGTACTCACTTCTGTGATATACTGTATGTAGCAGAATACAAACTTATAAGTATACTTATTTTATTAATGTTTCAATCATTTACAGCTGTTATACATGATTTGATGAAGTTTCAGTAAGAGAAAAACTTGTCTAACCTAAACTGGAGCCTTCCCCATGAAAGCAAGTTAGGGTGTCATACTTAACATATATATATATGTTATAATTGTATTTTTTAATTTAATGTTATAATTATTTTTTAACCTAACGTTGTAAGCCGCCCCGAGGCTTCGGCGAATGGGGCGGCATAAAAATGTTTTAATTAAATAAAATAATAAAATAAATAAAATAAAATTTATTCATTTAAAAAAATCAGGTATCTTCAGCCACCAGGAACTTGGGTGCAGTGTGTCTTGGAATCAAGAGAACTTCTCTCATTATGCCTCAAAAAGATCAAAGCTTCTCTTAGTAAGGTTAGTCCTATATATTGGCATTATTGTATAAAAGTAAAATTTATATAGACCAACTTTATACCGCCTGTGAAAGCTGTGATTTATTTTAAAATAGACTTCTTAACTGGTAAGAGTGAGTTGGCTCTACAAGCAGATATATTTTAGTTCTGTTTTCATAGTATGATCATTCTTTAAAGCTGTAGGCATTCTAGTTCATGTTTTGCAAAACTTGAATTCCTTATGCCATTACAAGCATTCATAGATTCACCCTTTTCTGGAAATAAAAGATAGTGGCTTTTGATTGGCAATAGGAGCACGTCATCTGGAAGCACCATATGTTTGCTTTATGCTTGTTTCTTGGAACTTTAAGAGCTTCACTGAATACCGTTGTGTCATTTCGTACTTTGTGACATTAGTTGAGTGTGGGAGCTCTTGAACCGAGCTGCTTCCATCTCTGCTTTTTTAATATATGCATGATAACCATGCATGATATTTCCTCCTAACAGGTACGATTGATTGATGCAGGATTTGTATGGACTGAACCACACTCTAAAAGACTTAAAGTAAAGCTGACAGTACAAAAGGAGGCAAGTAAGCTTGGCAGTGACTTTTATAAACCATGTTATCACAGAATTTTGACTTTTGGCAAAGCCATAACATTAGAGGAAGTCAAGGATGCTCTTGTTTTTTATTTGTGTTCTGAATTTTGCAGTTGTCTCATGCAGATATTCTTGGGACTAGGTCCCCTTGAGATAAGTAGGACTTAATTCCAAATAAACCTGTATGAAATTAGGCTGTATGCTGATCTGTGGATTCCTTTACAGCAAAGCATTAAGGGATGCTACTTTGGGACTGAGGGCGGAACTTAAGAACCTTTGCAGTCCTTCCTCTTCCATAACCATATTTCATAGCACAGTAGGTGAAACAGGATGAACATTTTGATTTCATTCAGCACACATCCCTGCAGCTAGGAAAGTTTGTGTTGATCTCAGACTAGGTTATTTTTAATACCAATTTATTAAAGAATGGAGGAAAGGAAAGTCAGCAAAAAATACAGACTTATGAAAACTGAATCACCAGAAAACCTCATAAATCTTACCTGTAACTTTCTTATTAGGTGATGAATGGTGCAATTCTTCAACAAATCTTTGTAATAGAATACATTGTCCATTCCCAGATGTGTGATGACTGCCATCGAGTTGAAGCTAAGGATTACTGGAAAGCAGTGGTTCAAGTGAGACAGAAGGTATATATGAAAGATGTTTCTTGTTAAAGAGAGAAATAGCACTGTATAGTAATTGCCTTCAGTTGTGCAAATGTATACTATTAATAAAGAGTTGATAAGGTAGGGGTAGAAACAAGGTTTGTGACACCATTTGGGTTTGTCACAGAATTTAATCTAGGAACTGTTGATACTGCATAATTGAGGTAATAGAAGTTGAACTATTTAGCACTCATTTATGCATTTGTTTTGAGACTTTCTATTTTAATATGCTTGTATGGCATTTGTATATAAACTACCAACTGCTTTAATACTTCCCATATATTCTGTATGATTTGTTGTTGTTAGTCGCGAAGTCATGTCCAACCCATCGCAATCCCATGGACAACATTCCGCCAGGCCCTCCTGTCCTCCACCATCCCCCGGAGTCCACTCAAACTCACACCAACTGCTCCAGTGATTCCATCTAGCCACCTCATTCTCTACCATCCCCTTCTTCTTTTGCCATCTATTGTTCCCAGCATTAGGCTCTTCTCCAGGGAGTCTTTCCTTCTCATTAGGTGGCCAAAGTATTTGAGTTACATCTTCACTATCTGGCCTTCTAAAGAGCAGTCAGGGTTGATCTCCTCTAGCACTGACCGGTTTGATCGCCTTGGGGTCCAGGGGACTCGCGGGAGTCTCCTCCAGCACCACAATTCAAAGGCCTCAGTCCTTCGGCGTTCAGTCTTCCTTATGGTCCAGCTTTCATAGCCATACATTGGAACTGGGAAAACCATAGCCTTGACTTGGCAGGGTGATGTCTCTGCTTTTTAGTATGCTGCCTAGATTTGCCATAGCTTTCCTCCCCAGGAGCAAATGTCTTTTAATTTCTTGGCTGCAGTCCCTGTCTGCGGTGAACTTGGAGCCCAGGAAAATAGAATCTGTCACTACCTCCATTTCTTCCCCATCTATTTGTTAGGAAGTGATAGGACCGGATGTCATGATTTTAATTTTCTTAATGTTGAGTTTCAAGCCAACTTTTGTGCTCTCCTCCTTCACTCGCATCAAGAGGCTCTTTAGTTCCTCTTCACTTTCTGCCATGAGAGTGGTATCATCTGCATATCTGAGGTTGTTGCTATTTCTCCCAGCAATCTTAATTCCAACTGGTGATTCATCTAGCCCCACCTTTCTCATGATGTGCTCTGCATATAAGTTAAATTTATATTGGTTCAGTTTTGAACCAATCAGTGGTACCGTGTCCAGTTCTCACTGTTGCTTCTTGACCCGCATATAGGTTTCTCAAAAGACACATGAGATGGTCTGGTACTCCCCTCTTGTTGTGATCCACACAATCAAAGGCTTTAACATAGTCAATGAAGCAGAAGTAGATGTTTTTCTGGAACTCCCTAGCTTTCTCCATGATCCAGCATATGTTGACAATTTGATCTCTAGTTCCTCTCCCTCTTCGAAATCCTGCCTGTACTTCTGGTAGTTCTCAGTCCACATACTGGTGGAGCCTAGCTTGTAGGATTTTGAGCATAACTTTGCTAGCATGTGAAATGAGTGCAATGGTGCAGTAGTTTGAACATTCCTTGGCATTGCTCTTCTTTGGGATCGGAATGTAAACTGACCTTTCCAATCCTGTGGCCACTGTTGAGTTTTCCAAATTTGCTGGCATATTGAGTGGAGCACTTTTACTGCATCGTCTTTTAAGATTTTGAATAGCTCAGCTGGAATATGTCTCCTCCACTAGCTTTGTTGTTGCTCAGACTTCCTAAGGCCCATTTGACTTCATATTCCAGGATGTCTGGCTCAAGGTCAGTAACCACCCCATCGTGGTTATCAGGGTTGTTAAGCTCTTTCTTGTATAGTTCTTCTGTGTAATCTTGCCACCTCTTCTTAATCACTTCTGCGTCTGTTAGGTCCCTGCCATTTTGGTCCTTTATCATGCCCATCTTTGCATGAAACGTTCCCTTCATGTCTCCAATTTTCTTGAAGAGATCTCTGGTCCTCCCTTTTCTATTGTTTTCTTCTATTGCTTTGCACTGTTCATTTAAGAAGGCATTCTTATCTCTTCTAGCTGTTCTCTGGAATTCTGCATTCAGTTGTTTGTTTGTTTCTCTTTCTCCCTTGCCTTTCGCTTCCCTTCTTTCCTCAGCTATTTGTAAAGCTTCCTCAGACAGCTGTTTTGTTTTCTTGCATTTCTTTTTCTTTGGGATGGTTTTAGTTGCTACCTCTTGTACAATGTTGCAAACTTCCGTCCATAGTTCTTTAGGCACTCTGTCTATCAGATCTAATTCCTTAAATCTATTTGTAACCTCTACTGTATATTCATCAGGGATATGATTTAGATCATACCTGAATGGCCTAGTGCTTTTCCCTACTTTCTTCAATTTAAGCCTTAATTTTGCAACCAGACGCTCATGTTCTGAGCCACAGTCAGCTCCTGGTCTAGTTATTATTGACTATATAGAGCTTCTCCATCTTTGGCTGCAGAGCACATAGTCAGTCTGATTTCTGTGTTGACCGTCTGGTGATGTCCATGTGTAGAGTCGTCTCTTGGGTTGTTGGAAAAAAAGTGTTTGCTATGACCATCGTATTCTCTTGACAAAATTCTACCAGCCTGTGCCCTGTATGATTAAAGACTGCAATTTGAAGGGTACTTACTCAGGTGTTAATCCCAGTAAAACCAACAGAACTTCTGAGAAAGTATGCATTTCTGTTTTAGTGAGCTGTTCAGGCTTGAGTGAAATGTCTGCCCTGTTGATCAGCTGCATTTTTCTGCTGTTCTGTAGGCCTTTACAAGAACACAGATATCACTTTCATTTGCCATTTTTGTTTTAATTCTTAAATTTTAGACTCAACATAAAAAGACTTTCTATTACTTGGAGCAGTTAATTCTAAAATATAGACTTCATCAGAACACTCTTCGAATCAAGGAGATTCATGGTAAACAACTTTAATAATTTTATGCAAAACAATTACTGTTATATAAATTTGTATCAGTTTTGAAGCAGAAAATATTAGGACAGGTTATTTGCAGGCACAAAAGAGATGTCAGGTTTTGCAAATGATGGGTTGTTGTGTTGCTTAGCTAATGATTTGTATGTGTATAATTAGTACATCCATTCAAGTATATATTTACATTTTGGATAAGGAGCGCTATGTGTCTTCTAAGGATGTTTGATATAGTCATATCCTGCTCTTGTATGAAATTGAAAGTAGTCTTCTGTCAACAGTTGGAACAGGTAAACACATCAGATCCTCCCAGACAAATCAGTGGAGCCAGAAATATATATTTCTGTATTTCATATACAAAAATTCTGTATTTATATTCTGTATTTCATGATAGAAATAGAACTATTCCTAATAGGTTTATACCAATAAATAGAACTATTCCTAATGTATTTATACCAAAGGAAGATATGTTGAACATCATCTTTTAATTAAGAAGGGAATATTCAGCTCCTGTGAAAATCCATGAAGAATCAGAAGATCAATCCTTATGATGATGCATCACCATGAAGCTTCATGATGATTCCATATTTAATTCCATATGCATACTTTAATTCTATATGCATACTTTCAGATGGCCTGGATTTTTACTATGCATGTAAACAACATGCTCAGAAGATGGTAGACTTTCTTCAGTGTACAGTTCCTTGCAGGTAAGGCTTTGGATTGTTGCTGTTGATGATGATGATGTTTTGAAGTGTGTGGTCTGTTGCAAAGCACTTTAAATACTTTAGTGCCTTCTCCCGTCTTCTGATACCTTCCAAATCAGCACCAGCCGTCTCTTCCTCTCAAGATTATACGCATGTGTAATGTTATACCTCCTGCGTGAGAGGATCTACAGCAGGAGTTGGCAACTTTGACTGATACAAGGACCAATTTCTCACCCTCCCTGTGCACCAGACCCATCTGCAAAAATAGAGTAAAAGTGGAATAAATGCACCACATAACTCTTAAACCACTGCCCAGAGCAGCATTAGGGCAAAGCAAGCTCTTCACAAATCAAGGGTTGATCATTTTTCAGGGTACTACAAGTACGTTCATGCACACACTTGCACTACACATACAAAGTCCAGTTGATAAGAGCAAAGTGCAAGAATCTCTCCAAGCAGCAGTTGCACTTCATCATTGAATCTTGTTTTGCTCCTGCTGGCAAGTTTATTAGAAATTCTGAGCTGTTTTACTTTGCTCAGAATTTTAGGGTCAGAATAGATCCCTGGGAAATATCGATCTCCTGCTATCACAGGGTTATGAGACACTTGCTAAAGGAGAAGAATAATCAAAGCTAGCTGTACCTAGACCTTGAGAGCACAGAGGAGTAGTTCCCTTTTAAGTCCGGTCTTCCCACATACATGCAGCTTGAGAACCTAGGAAACGGTTTGTGAAAAGTTGCCAGAGGGTCTCGGTTTTATTCACTTGTCGAGTTTTCTCCTCTACACTAAGTTGGTGTGATGGTATCTGAAGAATCCCAAGAGCTGTTTGTTTTTTTGTATTCTGGTTTTGGAAATGGACGCTTGTTTTGCTTTGTTTCCAAGGCAATCTTCATTGACTTTTACAAACATCTCCTTCACTGCATTGATTTGGACTTTCTTTCTTTCTTTCTTTCTTTCTTTCTTTCTTTCTTTCTTTCTTGTTACTTCAGGTCTAAATCATCCCAGCGTTTGATTTCTCATGATATTCACAGCAATACTTATAATTACAAAAGCACCTTTTCTGTGGAGATTGTTCCAATATGCAAGGTACTTCTTGAGTTCATATATTAGGAATCAATAAGAAATTGCTTGGAGGTGTATTTGTAGATGAATTGCTTGCTTGCATCTGGGTAGGGAACTGTGGCCCTCTAGATGTTGATTGCTGACAGCCATCAGCCCAGCCATCTGTCAGGTGGAAGATGTAGTCTTAAGAAGATGAGGAGAATGGGTTCTGTTCATAAAGGATAAAATGAACAGGCGGGCCAGGTAAGTTGCCTTGGTGGAATATAAATGTAGTAATAGAAAAATAGTTTGGTGTAACTTGCTCACAAATACAGGATTTCTCCCAAATCAAAAATCGCATGGGGAAAACTGCAAGTGTCCGTGACCTCAGGAATGAAAGTGCCAGTTTTCACATACCTATTTATGTTTGGTTCCCTGTAGCATGAAGTACTGAGTGAGAGTGCATTTGATACCTCCTGATGTCTATCCAGAGCAGTACCTTTCAGTGCAGGTTTAGTGTTAATGTGTGAATCAGCCTGAGCTGTTAAATCTTAGACTGCAGAAGCAGTATTAAGAAATCACTACTCTTTTTAATAGTATAGCCTGCTAGTATAATGCATGTTTAATAACTCTCAGAATATGTATATTGAAGAATTTGCTTCTAAAATAAAATAGCATTACCAATGTTGTGTGTTTTTAATATTAAAACCATGTTTTCTCTGGCAATGTTCAGAGAAATGGTTTTTAATATTTTCAAAGTTTAATATTTTCAGAGGCTTTCCAAGTGAAGATTTATTAGGATTCCCCTTTTTATTGTCTAAATTCTATCAATTAGCTTTTACAGAAATCCATTTGAAGTAATTTAACACCCACAGCAAAAGCTGACAATGTTCTCATTCAAGAACACAGCCATATCCTCCTCAAGATAATATGTAAACAGGCCAACTCACCCAATCCATTCCTCCCCCTCCCACCACCCATACACACACACATATTTTCTTTTCAAATTAACAAACTGTGTTATGCACCTGAGCATGTCCATCGTTCACTGAATGATGGGTGCAGAGGGTTACCTTTCCTTTAAATTTGCAAACTGTATTATGTATTGAGTTATCCAAGTATGTAGAAATTACTGCCTTATCTTGGGGTGCTCCCCATTAGCTGGTAAAATAATAATCATCTAACCTTTTTTTTTTCACTATTGAAGAGAAGAATGGTACAAAAATGGTTTGAGTTATCCTGGCTCTCCAGTGTGCAAATACGTAACATTTTATATTTTCTGAGAAATAGTAGGTGCTAAGTTCCACTGTATGACTAGCAAGAGAAGATATTTGCAAGCTCAGCCCTGTTCCTCTTAGTTTAACATTTGTGAACACTTTTCACATGCAGGGCAATAAGATAACCACTTACTATCAACAATTACTATACTGATAGTTTATGGTTTCATGACACTTAGACTTTCATTCATAGTGATAACACTTTTACTAAAAAAAAAAAAAATAGTGAACCAACACATGTTTAATTTTGTTCTTATTATACAGGACAATGTTATATGCTTGTCTCCAAAATTGGCTCAGAGTCTTGGGAATATCAACCAGATTTGTGTTTGCATCCGGATAACTAGTACAATTCACATAATTGATCCTAATACACTGCAGAGTAAGTTTTTGACTCATTTCCCTTCAATAATACAATTCTTTAATAGATCTATTACTATTGATATTAAGTCTTCTGTATCAACATTAATTTAAACATGCCTATAATATAACATGTTTTTGAAAAATTAAACAAAATTCAGTTTAAATTTAATTGTGTATTTACTGTTGCAGTCCCTGCAACTTTAATATGATGATACTGCTTCCATTATGGGATCTGATGTATTGGAGAATAGATTATACAAAGATTCTAAATTTCTCCTTTAAAAAAAATCTGACAATGCATGTCATGTCTGCATTTGTTTTGCTGTTCTTTTTTTGTTTCAGTTGCAGAAATTGATGGAAACACTTACTGGCGTCATCCTTTTAATAGCCTGTTCCACCCAAAGCAGTTAGAGGAATTTATTGTCATGGATATCAGCAGGATCCAGGACAGAAAACAGGGTGCTGGTGCAGGCATGAAATCCAGCAAAGTAAGAATTAATTTTCATGAATCTTGTGCCCCAAGATGAAAGTTACTTAACTCTTCTGAATGTCATACAAACATGAAAATCTCTTGGTCCTCTAGTCTGGTTGGTTCTAAAGGTCTCATATAGAATCCTTGCATAGTCCTGCTACTTGAAATCCTTTAGCATGGAGAATTCAGAGGTTGTATCTAGGGCATTCTTCCCACTAATCAGTTACTCTGTTGCTGAACTTTTGTCTCTTCATACATGTCAGGCTACAGAGAAGATATTTCTCTTTTTTTTAATAACTTTTAATGGCAGACTTTGATAAAGAGAAGTGGTAAAGTGTTCCCTTTGCAATTTTGGATTGCGATTGAAATACTTTTTCTTTCAGCAAACAAGTTATTCTGTAACTTCCTGTTACTAGAGTAGTGATTCTTACAAGTGAAAAGCATTTATATTCACTTCTTGCATAGAGTGTGAATTGTGAAAATTATGTATGGTATAAGAAGCACCCCAAAACAACAAAAAGGACAGTTTCTCCAATAATACTAAAGCAAAAACAAGGTATGAAGAAGCTTATAGAACTAGTTAATCACTGTATATCAGATAAAGAGTGAGTTCATAATCACTTAAAGACCTGTATAAGATGAGGCACAATCAGTAATACACACCAAATTACAATGAAGTTCCAATATTTATTTTTTATATTTAATGGTAATTTATTATGTACTATTGTATTTCAATGTATTTTATCATGTTGTAAGCCGCCCCGAGGTTTCGGCAAGGGGCGGCATAGAAATGTTATAATAATAATAATAATAATAATAATAATAATAATAATAATAATAAT